AATGTAGCGAAACATAGAAAAAGTTACCTGAAAGTAGCAAAAAGTTACCTGACAATAGCTAAATGTTAACTGAAGGTAGCTAAATGTTAACTGAAAGTAGCTAAACGTTAACTGAAAGTAGAAAAATATTAATTGAATGTAGCCGTACGTTACCTGAAAATAGCTAAATGTTCACTGAAGGTAGTTAAATTTTAACTGAAAGTAGCTAAACATTACCAGAAAGTAGCAAAACATTAAATGAATGTAGCGAAACATAGAAAAAGTTACCTTAAAGTAGCAAAAAGTTACCTGACAATAGCTAAACGTTAACTGAAGGTAGCTAAACATTACCAGAAAGTAGCAAAACATTAAATGAATGTAGCGAAACATAGAAAAAGTTACCTGAAAGTAGGAAAAAGTTACCTGAAAGTAGCTAAATGTTAACTAAAATCTGCTAATTATTAACTGAAAGTAACAAAACAACTATAAGTAGCTAAACATTAACTGAAAGTAGCAAAATGGTAGCTAAAAGTAACAAAGAAATAACTAAAAGTGGCTAAATATTTAGCTCCATTCAGACATGGGGTGTCCGTTACTCCACGTTTAAACTTAATTTTACGCAGCTTTCACATGAAGTGGTACTTAATTAACCTTTGACTCCTCTGACCCTCAGGCAGCCGCTGAAACGTCTGAACTGATGCTAACTCTCAAGCAGCTTCAACAACAGCTCGTAAAGCTTCTTGCAACAAAGAAGAATGGGTGCTGGTGAGTATTTTATTCACTTTTCATGTTTAATTTAGACTGTGAATGAAACAAAGGCCAACTTTGTAACATAATAGATCAACTTCTTTGATTTAATACTATATTTTCTTTATTTGAAGAGTTTAACTTCTTTGAGATTTGCAGGTTAATTCTTAATAAAGTCCTGAGTCAAACAATGACAGAACCTTGATTTAGTGAACACCTGTGGAGTGGCAGACCCAGCTGATGTTTCACATTTTTTAAACGTGGGACTGAAGAGTGCGTTCCAACTGGATCACAATCCTCAGACTTCCATGTTGAAGGGAGGCTCCAACTGACGGTAGAACCTTGAGGAGCAGTGTGGCGTCAGTCCTGGTCTTGGAACACTGGAACAGATTTACCTTGGTGTTGGTGCTAGGGGTTCATGGGGGTTTGCCTCAATAGTCTACATGTGGACCTGGAGAAGGTTTTTGTTTTCTTTGTGGGGGTGCTGCAGGAGTATGGGGTGCCGGAGTTGTTTTTAAGAGCCATCCGGGTCCTGTAGAACCAAAGCAGGATCTGCGTCCAAATTCTTGGCACAAAGTCGAGCTCCTTCTTGGTGCGGGTTGGACTCCGCTAGAGCCGTCCCTCGTCTGTGATCCTGTTTGTGGTGTTCATGGACAGGATCTCAAGGTGCAGTCGTGGAGAGGTGGGGGTCTGCTTTGGGAACCTCAAGGTCTCATCTCTGCTTCATGCAAGTGATGTGGTTCTGTTGGCCTCTTTGGGCCAAGATTTTCAGTGTGCACCGGGTCGCTTCACAGCCGTGCTCAGCTCATCAAAGTCCGAGGCAAGTATCGGGGTGGACTGGGAGGTGGATCCAAGGATCAGGGCCTCGTCCTCAGTAATGAGGGTGTTGCTTCAGTCAGTCCTGGTGAAGAAGGGAAAGGAGAGTGAGGAGCTCTGTCGTCCAAGGGGAGCTCAAGGTAGAGCTGCTGCTCCTTCGCATCAAATCAGTTCATCGAATCGAGTCAGTTGAGGTGATTCATCTGATTAGGATGTCTCCTGCATCTCCCTTTGGAAGATTTCTGGGCACTTCCCACTGAGAAGTAAGAGAGATGGGGATTTTATTCCATTTGTAGGGATTTTATATTCTCTCTGGGAACACCTTGGGTTCTCCCAGAAGGAGCTGGAGAGTGTCACGAGAGTGATGACCTGGGTTTTTCTCCTGGACCTGTTGCCTCTGTGACCTGACTGTGGATAAGTGGGTACGAGATGGATATAATTTAGTTTAAAAAATTAATAAACAATATTTAAGTGAATACTAAGTAAGAGCACAGTAAATTTGCAGTTACAGGAACATGTTAATAATAATAATAATAATAATAATAATAATAATAATTTATTTTTATGGTTGTTTGTTCTTTTGTTTTAAATCAGGCGAAAGTTGGGACAACTACCTGCCCGACCGGTCTTATTGGGGTCCTTCACGTGGCGCTCATAAACAAACATGGCGGAAGAGTTAGAGCTGTGACTAGTTTGTCTGTAAAGTTTTCAATGAAATTCACAAGACTTTAATCGGCTTATTTTCTACATGTGTAGTTGTTGATGTTCCGTTTGGACCGGTTCGGGTGTCCGGTGTTAGAATGAGCGGCTGGGCGGGTTTTTCTGACGAGGAGCTGCGGAGAATCCAGCAGAAAGGTAGCGAACAGTTTCATCATGACGGATTTAGTTCCTGTCGAAAGAGTCGGAACCGGGTTTAACAGCACGTATTCTATATTTTTAACATCCAGACTCAGCTGGACCAGCTGCCGCAGTCCGCGGTCGGAAGCCGCCTCCGTCCGGCCGGAGTCGGCAGCAGTTACAGCGGGAGAGAGCCCTGCAGTTAGCCGGGGCACAGAGCCTCCCACTGGGCCAACAGCTCAGCCAGCCGCCGCCGAAGGAGCTGCCAAAGCCCGCTGCCCGGCCTGGAGCTCCGGGAGGCGGGCAGGAGGCGCCACCTGCAGCCCGGCCAGGAGCTCCGGGAGGCGGGCAGGAGGCGCCACCTGCAGCCCGGCCAGGAGCTCCGGGAGGCGGGCAGGAGGCGCAGCAGAAATCCGCTGACATGGAGCCAAATGAAAACCATCAGCCGGAGGAAACAAGCCGGGAGATTAAAGAACTGGAGAAACAAGAGGCGGAGTTGTAAATATGATTTATTAATAATAATACTGATAAAACATTGGTTTCGTACTATTCTGATAATTCGTGGAACATCTGGGTTTGTGGATTCACCTTTTCTGCACCTGTTCCTCCTCGGTCTAAGCCAGGTCAGATATGGCTTTCTTTTTTCTACAGGACATAATGAGTTTGAGCATGTGACAAAGAGCAACAAAACCCTAAACGTTTGTAGAGTTTGTACATGAAAAGAAACCGACTGAATACACTTCATCAGTCAAATATCTGGTGTTGACGAGGACGATGATCAGCCTGACCTGTCCACAGCATCGCCACAGAAGGCTGATATTTATCACCAACTCCAGCTTTATTAAAGTGTTACTTTACCAAAGTTTAGGTGTGAGACAGGAACTAATTATTCTTTACTAGCCGCACGTTTTTTAAAAATACACTCTGTGATTTTTCAAAACCTTTGTTCTGTTTACGTAATTAAAATGATGATTTAAACGCTTTTTTCACGTCGTCGCATCATTACAAGTTTCTAGTTAAAACTCTTCAAACATGGACCTTTCCAGGGCTTAAAGAGTCTTCGTGCCCAAGTTCTTTACTCGGAGCTGATCTGTGACGTCCCGACACTAAGATCTTCAGTGAAATGATCTTCAGCTGGAGATTGTCAGGAGGACGTGTGTCTTCTGTGGTGAGGCTGCGCGTCGTCCTCGTAAACACCAGATACTCGAGTCTGAACCGACAGACCGCAGTCGGTTTTATCTGCTGCTCAGATAACCGCCTGTGATCTGAGGCGGCGCTCAGTCCGGACCTTCAGACCGGCCTGTGATATCTTCCAGCGGCTCTGATCCTCAGATTCTGTCGTCAAGGACATGAAATCTGTTTTCTGGACTTTTTCCCTTCAGTTTCAGCTCTTGATCATTTTTACAGGAAGTATTTATGTTTTAAACTGCGGCTCGGCCGGTGTTTTGCAGTGAAAGTCTGTTTTTGGGTCCGCAGGCGAGAGCGGAGCCGCCTGGAGCTGCTGCAGCTGGAGCAGAAACTGATGGAGGAGAGAAACAAACGCAAGAAGGCCCTGCTGACGAAAACCATCGCTGAGAAGTAAGACTGACGTGCTGACGGGTCGAGAACCGTCCAGAACCAGTTTTCACAACAAGTCTGTGATCTGCAGGTCCAAACAGACCCAGGCCGAGGCCGTGAAGCTGAGGAGGATCCAGAAGGAGCTGCAGGCCCTCGACGACATGGTGTCCAACGACATCGGCATCCTGAGGGGGAAGATCGAGGAGGCCAGCTGGGACTACACCGCTGCCAGGTTCCTGTGGTTCTGTTTGATCCGGGTCTTCACTGAGGACCTGGCCCAGTCTCTGTGGGGGGTTCTGTTGCTGCTCAGGTGACTCAGCTTTGAGCCCACAAACGGCGCCCCCTGCAGCTGCTTCCTGAAACTGTCTGACGAGCCAGATCAGAGTGTCTGAATTCACTAAAGTAGCTAAACATTTGCTAAAAATAGCTAAAAGGGAACTAGTTGCAAAACAGCTAAAAGTTGGAAAACTTTGCTAAAAGTAGGAAAACACTAGCTAAAATAGCAACATGTTAAAGTAGCTAAAATTAGCTAACTCTGACTTAAGGCTAAAATTAGCAAAACCCTAAGAATGGGTCTGGGCTCAGACGGGTCGGAGTAAACCCAGTTTAACTTGGTTTGTTTTTATTCATGATTAAAGTTTGGAGACAAAACGAGATTTGTATCTCGGCGTTAAAGTCGCAGTTAATTTCCTCAGCTCCGCAGCAGGAACTGTGCTCGGTGAGAAGTCGACCGAAAGCCGACGTGTTTAACGTCTGTTTTCTTTGCGGCCGCAGGAAGCGCTACGAGAAGGCCGAGGCCGAGTACGTGACGGCCAAGCTGGACCTGCACAGGAAGACGGAGCTGAAGGAGCAGCTGACGGAGCATCTCTGCGCCATCATCCAGCAGAACGAGCTGAGGAAGGCCCACAAGCTGGAGGAGCTGATGCAGCAGCTGCAGGTGGAGGCCACCGAGGAGGAGGAGGAGGGGAGGAGGAACTGTGCTCAGAGGAGCGGGCAAGAAGCTGTGGAGGGAGGGGCACCACCAGCCGAGGAGGAGGAGGCGATGAAGGAGGGAGGAGAGCAGAAAACGTTAGAAAACTGTGGCGAGGCAGAACCCGTGTCCTCCTGACCCTCAGAGGAGGACTCTGATCCGGTCTCCTCCTTCAGAACTCTGGTTCTGACCCAGATGAGTTCCTCCACCAGGGTGCGAGACGGAACCGAGCTGCTGCTTCATTAAGAAACGAAGCAACGTTCTCCTGGATCCCTCTGGGCTCAAACGGGCCTCAGACATTTGGACTTGACCCGACTGAGCTGCTGTCGAGAGCTGTACCAGAACCGCAGCTTCAGATCGGAGCTCGAGGTTCTGATCGGAGCTCGAGGTTCAGATCGGAGCTCGAGGTTCTGATCAGAGCTCGAGGTTCTGATCGACGCTCGAGGTTCAGATCGGCGCCATCTTATTTTCTGGGCTTTAGTCTGAATCTGTGGCACGGAACGAGTAAAACCTGGGAATTGTGCTAAATGTGTCTTTAAGGTTCTGGACGAACAGAACAGCAAACTCATTGCAACATTTCTTCCCCCCCCCCCCCCCCCCCACACACACACACACACATGTTGTGCTCTCTCTGACTCGCAGAAATTAAACCGGGTCGGGTTCTGGACCAGCTCTGGGACTGTTTTATGGGATAAAATTTGTGTCTGACTTTTTTCCAGCGTGATTAAAATCACGGAGACGTCCTGGTGAAGGCGTGGCCCGGCGAGCTGCTGGTACCAGGTTCTTACAGACTTGGGTCCAGATCCCCTGCTGGGCTCCGGAGAGGAGAGCTGGCGGGTGTGGGCTCGGTCCAAGGTTCTGTTTCTGGATCAGAACCAGCTTTTTGAATCGTTCAGCTCCTGTTTGATGTTGGAGCAAACTCTGAGCGTTTAAAGAGCCGCTCGGAGCGGAGAACGGGTCGGTTCTGTTTACCGTCTGTTTCAGTTCTGCTGACTGACAGCTTGTTAGCAGGAGCCGGGTTCGTGTTTCACAGACTGGGTTCTGGTTCTGCCGGGTCGCTGTTTGAGCTGCAGAATCGAAGCTTTGACAGAAATGTAAATAAAAACACTAAAAATAAAAGTTTATTTTTGTTCTGGAAGGTTCTGTGTGTTTTTATGAAGTCTGGTCAGAGCTGGAACCAGGTTCTGTCGGACCCAATACACCGGTTCTTAACAGAACCTACTCTCGGACCTCTTCTGGTCGTCACGTGGCGTTAAAGTGCAGTAAAATTTGTGGGATTTTACAGCGCTGCGCTCCTGTCTGCCGTGTGAGACGCTGTGAAGCAGCTCCTTTAATGAGTTTGGAGGTCCAGCGGGTCGGTGCCAGATGACCTTTGACCCTTGGTTCATCAGGCCGGGTCCAACAGAACCTCACGTAGAGCTGAAGTAATAGACTCATTTCTGCTTTTACAAGAAACACTAATTTTCTGTTTGAAGTTATTTCACTTTAATGTTTTTAATTGATATAAAATAAAAAATATTTTTAATTTGGAGTAAAGTCCTGAACCATTTTTATTTAAAATGTTTCGAAGCTTTACCTCATTTAAATATTTTATTCATCATAATTGTTTTATTTTTATGTTCATAAAAAATATTTGTGTTTTGATAAACCATTTTTTTATCTTGACAAAAATATTTAAAACGGCAAAAATAAAAAGTTTAAAATTGATTCGAATCAACTCCAACAGGAAGTTGATGTTTATTTGAAAAGATTAAAAAACAACAACAAAACATTAAAGATCATAAAAATGTGAATTTAAAGAGTTCAACTTTTCCATCGGTTCAGAAGCTGCAGAGTTACCTGCGTCAGGTGAGGTCAGTGAGTCACAGGAAGTCAGGTGCAGGAGGAAATGACATCACCAGATCAGGACTGATCACTTTCATGTCTTTCATTAAAAAATAAAATCTGGGATAAACTTTTAAATTTATTTATGTGGAAAGTGAAAAACAAGCTGCTGTTCAAATGTTCTCCTACAATAAACTTTAAAACCTAAATGTTGATTTGTTTAAAAAAGTTTATGTTGAAATTAAAAACATGAGAGTTTAAAGTTATAAATCAGTTTAAATGAGTTTATTTTATTTATCTGGTATTAAACTTAAGTTATGAGCAAACAGATCAAATAACAGTTTTAATGTGAATAAACTGTGTGTGTGTGTGTGTGTGTGTGTGTGTGTGTGTGTGTGTGTGTGTGTGTGTGTGTGTGTGTGATTTATGTGGCATTGAGAGCTTCGACAGGTCGAGAAAAACCCTGAAACCTGAGAACGCTTAAAAAAAAATCCTAAAATCTGCAAAGAACTTTTCTTGTAAACCTCAAACATCTGGACGAGCCGAACTTCACCTCAAACAGCCGAACTTCAGCTCCACATCAGCTGAACCCGGAGACAAACGTTGCTTCGGTTTTTGATGCTTTCTATTAAAGTAAAATAAATAAACTACTTCCTGTTTTGGAGTCAAACGAAACAAAATCTGCTTTTTAAATAAAAACATTTCAGGAAAAAACTTTTAGCCTCAAAGTGAAACTCAAAAAACATCAAAATAAACTTTATGTCAAATTAAAAGAGATTCGTCCTGATTTAAACCTGAAGAACCTCTGTAAAACTACGTAGAACCTCTGTAGAACCTCTATAGAACTTTGTAGAACCCCCCACAGGTTTCTGTAGAACCCTGTAAACTTCTGTAGAACCATGTAGGACTCTGTAGAACCTCTGTGGGACCCTGTATAACCTCTGTAGAACTCTAGAACCCTGTTAGAAACCTGAAGAACCAGTGTAGGACTCTGTTAAACCTCCGTGGGACTCTGTAGAACCCTGTTAGAACTCTGTAGAACCCTATTAGAAACCTGAAGAATCAGTGCAGGACTCTGTAGAACCCTGTTAGAACTCTGTAGAACCTCTGTAGAACATGTAGAACTCTGTAGAACCTATGTGGGACCCTGTAGAACCTCTGTTGAACCCTGTAGGACTCTGTAGAACCTCTGTAGGTTCTCTGAAGGTTCTGTAATCGGCAGCAGATTGTCTGTTTTGAGCCGTTGCAGCGTTTCCAGCGTGAGCGACAAACGAAACAATAAAACCTGAATGAACGAGTTCAGGATAAAAACATGTAGAGCAGCTCCTCCGTCGAGTCTGCAGGACTCAACGCCTGGGCCTTCAACAAACCCAAACATCTGGACGTTAGTCTTGAACTTCTGCTTTTAGCAGAAAATAACAAACTGTCTGTTTGGAGCAAAATCCATCAAAGTTCTCTGTTGGCTTTTAAAGGTCAAAGGTCACGCAGAAGAACAGTCAAAGAACAACTGCTCTGAGTCCAGAGTCAATCTAGAACCTTTTATCATCGGAAACTGAAGTTCAAGTTTCTCCTTCGGCTGTGAGCGGTCGGACCGACGTCCTCCTGCAGGCGACACTCTGCTGTGTGTGTGTGTGTGTGTGTGTGTGTGTGTGTGTGTGTGTGTGTGTGGCTGTAATCAGTCGGAGCGTGTCTGCAGGCTGTTTGGTTCCCACAGGATGGAACAAGCCGGCCGTTTACCACCAATTAGGGAAATTAACCAGGGCGCGGGGGGAAGGGGGGGGCACCAATCAGAACCAGGGGTCACCGGACAGCGGCGGCAGGATCGGGGGCCCAGGGGCCCGATCCTGCAGAAATCAACCACATTGACCTGCAGCTTTTATTTTGGCGGGTGGTGTAAGGAGGGTTTAAAATATTTTAAAAGTAAAAACTTGGACCATCAGGTCTGATGTAAAGATGAGATGAAATAATATGAAACGTGAACCAACAGATTAAATAAATTCAAGATCAAATTAGAAAAGATCAGAGATTAGAGAAGATTATTGTGTCACTTAATAATAATAATAATAATAATAATGTCTGACTCTGCCCTTCAGAAACATTTTGCCTCCAAACTGGATGGGTCCGGTGGTGGTTCTGACCCGATAAAAGCTGCTGCTAAAGTGGAGCTAGCTCCAGCAAACAGGGAAATCCCTTCGTTTAAAGGCGAAATGATCGATTTAAAACCGAAGCTTCACAGACTTTAAACCTGCAGATAATTCAAGGATTAAAAACTGAAAGTTCAGCAGAAAAATAAACACATGATTCATTAGTTTTTATTGTTTACTTGTTTGTTTTTTGTTTGTTTGTTTTCTAATCCAGGCACTGATGTACCTGAAGGAACCTTCAGGCGCTCCATTAAAACCAGAACTGCTGAAATCTCCTCGTTAACATATAAAGTTGGACCTCAGAGGCTCGCTGGGGTTTCTGTGGCTTCGTCTTGCCCCCCCCCCCCCCCCCCCCCCCCAAGTGTTGTAAACTGCTGCAAATTAAATCAGAGCTTTGAGAAACTTTCAATCCGGGTGAATATTTTGTTAAACTGGATGTGGAACGTTAAATTCAGAAGGTGTTGACTTACAGAAACATGAAGAAGTTTGTTCTTTGGGCCTAAGAAGAGCCAGACTTCAGTTTTCTGATGTCCGCTTTGATCAGAAGGAGAAACTCTGAAGGACCTTCTGATGTTTTATAAATTTAAACTCGTTCAAACTGTCTTTGAAACAATCTGCAACATAAATGTGATCATTCTCAGTTTGGTTCTGTTGAGTCCGGAGCCCATTGGCGCTGCAGGATGCTGCCTTCCTCCCCCAGATGTTTGGAGAAAACTTTCACACGAAGTCCTGAACAAAGCCTCAAGCCTGGAGGAGAACTCTGAGACACGGGGAGGCCGGCGTTTTTTCTGCTTTTATTCTCGAGCTGGCACCAGAACCGACTTGTAGGCAGGAAAAGAGAATCTGGGGGGAAAACTAATGATGAAAAAGTCTACTCGATCCCTGCGCCTTCATTAAATCTGTGGAAAGAAGGAGGCGAGCACATCTGGACTCAATCTGCGCCTCTTTGATGGCATCAAGTGAGCTTTTTTCCCAGATCTGTTGGGGGGAGGCGGGGGAGGATGGGGGAGCTATGGGATGTCTGTGGCAACTCGAAGCTCCAAGTCGACTCCTGCCATCCGACACCCCCCCCCCCCCCCACATCACCTCACCTACTTCTTCCCTCAATTTGTTCAAAGGAAAACTTAGAAGAGGGAGGCAGGAGTTTCGGCTCTGACAGCGAGAAGGTTC